GCAGGGAATCTACATTATTAATCCTTTTAAAGCATAAACAGAAGTGCAACTGAAGCCTGGAGGCCCCAGGCAGACACTAGACAGGGATGTGGTTCTGGGAGGAGGGCTGCCCTCCACTCTGTGACGCTGTGCCGGCTGCCTGGGTGGCATCTGCCCCCATGGACGGTCAAGGAAGCTACTAGTTCCTGAGGCATACTGTGTGACGGAGCAGAAAACATGGGCTTTAGAGTAAAGAAAGATCCACACTCTAATCACTGCTGACGATGGGCTGGGCAGCTTCTAACTCTCTGAGCCTGTATGAGCTGCTGCGGGATTCAGGGAGGTGTTATAAACCCTTCTAATGATATCCTCTAAATGTTTGTGTGGCCTCCGCTCTACCTGGAGAACACCTGGCTCTAGGTTCTCTTTCCGCAGAACTCTGAGCCCCATGAGGACACTCTCTAGGAAAGCTAATGACAGATGGTCATGAGGTGACGTACTGATCCAGAGGCTCTTGTGGGACTGTACATCGTCAAGGACCTCCGAGAACTTTGAGAACAAAGTTGCCACTGGAGTGCTCATCTCTGGGGGCTCACATGTGTGTCTGTGAGGCAGGACCTTGGGCTCCTCCTCCCAGCGCATACAAGAAAGCCAAGCACAGGCTCCCTAAATGCACCAACAGGTTCAGAGGGCAGCCGCAGTTCTTTTGAGTAGCAAGGAAGTGGAGAAGTCCGTCCAGATTGTTGGTGCCTGTAGCCCCAGGTCACAGAGACATCACCGTTATCTGCCCCACGGGCTAAGGACCCACTGGCACTTTTTCTCTAGCTGCCCAGACATCTAGCATCTCTGGGAACTGGCTGTTTGTGCATCAGGACTGTTCTAGCCCAAGTTTTTGGAATGGAAGACCTCAGTCTTGGGAAAGCAAGACCTGATGCTGTCTAGGCCTGGGGGTGGGGGTGGCAGAGGAGGGGGCATCCCTGCTTCCTGCAGTGGGGATTATTTGGGCTGCCTTCTGCAAACACCTCAGTCCTGCCCAGCTGCTTCTCAGGCCCACAGGGATGTTCTGACCCCAGTTCCCTCCCTGAAGCAATGGTACAATGGCTCTCCCAGAGCGAGTCTCCGCCGAACCGCTGGGATCTATGCTTCCAGGCTTTGCTCCACCTGCTCTGTCTGCAGTGTCCTCTGTGCCCTTCCCTAACCATTATCCCTACGAAACCAACTCCTTCCAACTCCACCTCAACGGCCACCACCGTTAGGGAGGAACCTCCCTAATTACCCTCCTAGACACATTCATTTCTTACCCATCTTTATACACTGTCAACTCCTCGAGGGTGAGGATGAGTCCTGTCTCTCTTTCTCTCTCTCTCTCCCATAAGTCTGGGCACTAGACTTCACATTACCCTGGACAAATAAACAAATGGCCAATACCAGGTTAACTGCTAATAAGCTCAGAGTCTTCCACACTCCCTTGGGAGAACCTAAACTATATCAGTTCTATCAGCTGTTCAAAACCTTCAATTAATGGATTCCAGTCTCTTCAAAGCAGTGGGAGAATTTCCCCAAAGTCAATTCTGAGGCACAGGGCCTCCTCTAGGCAGACTTGGGAACTGGCTACTCTCACAAATTCCTGATTGCTCTCAAAAAGGTGAGCATCCAGCTCTACTTGATGACATAAAGGAAGGGAATAATTCTTTTTCTGTTTTTAGGGAAATACAGGCAACAGTAAAGTATGCAGGGGAACAGAAGCATACCCGACATGGAGCCTTGGGGGGGTGCAGCAGGGAGAAGGCAAGAGGACACGTGAAGCCTCCAGACCCCATGCCGTTGACCCCACAGACAAGCCGCCAAGAGAAGCAAAGCCAGAGAACCCAAGTGGAGGCAGCTTATTTCATCAGCATCCAGCTGGTTAAAAATAACTTCACTTATTAGTTTAAGTGAGATCACCACAGGGCTGGAAATTCACTGTCAATGAAACAAAAATACTGGAAGGAAAATGAGAAAAGTCTACATTCATGATGAGCTTTATTTCAAAAAAGAAACACAGGAAGGAAGCTGCCTGGATATTCCACAGGCTCTGTTTTCCTTCTGGGCTTTTCATGAGGCACTCGTCTACCAATCTGGGAGTCAGCACGCTTCATTCCTCCCATCTTGCCAGAGAGAAGCAGCAGCATGGAGCTAAGTGCCGTGGAGCATCATCAGGAAAAAGGCAACCTTAGGAGATGACACGGCACTCGCGCGAACGCTGAGCCAGACCGCCCCTCCCCTGCTGCAGAACCTCAAGGAACTGCCTGTTCTCGGCTTCTGCTGAGGCTCTACACCTTCCTTCAGCACACAGATTTCCCTTGTTGCCTGTGCTGCCAACAAAGGCTCTACTGACGAAAAGTGACGGCTCACCGACTAGGGCGGAGGCCGGGAGGGAGTGCTCTACAGGCTCTTCCCAAAGGAGGAAAGGCAGCGCTCAACAGGGACAGTGCTCTCTCTGAGTGACTTTGGGGAATCCATCCTGCTTTTCTAGAATGCTCAAGAGGGAGCAGCCCTCCAACCCTAATCTCCCCTCAGCATGCATTCCTGGGTCCCCTTTGTGGCCCACCTGAAGCCTCCTCCTAAATCAGGCCCATAGGACCAAGACTCCAGTCTTCCCCATATGAGCTCATCCGGATTGCCCTGGAGGTGCGAGGAGGCCAGGCGAGGCTCCGGCAAACTGCTCTGGGAGGCAGGGCTCTGGAGCACCCTGACGCTAATGAGCCACGCACAGGGGCATCGCTCCTCACATAGGTTGACAGCTGTCATGAATTGTTTTCCCTTGTTGGTTCTCATAATTCAGTGTTTTTGTGTTTGTTTTTCCTGTTGTTATTGTTGTTTTTGGAAGTATGTAGACCATTTTTTGGTCGGAAATTTTCATTCTTATATAATTTCAAAATTTCAGAAAAATTGTATGAATAAGGATTTCCTATAAAACCATTTATCCAGATTCACCAATGTGTTTTTATTTTGCCCATTTGCTTTATCATTTCTCTCTCTCTCTAGATGGATGATATAGATATCTATTTATACAGAAACAAATATATGCATGCGTATATACACATATATGAATACATATGTATATCTATACCTGTAATTCTTTTCTGAGCCATTCGAGAATAAGCTGTAGATATGATGTCTCCTTGTTCCTAAAACCTTGGCACACATTTCCAAGAACAAAGATATTCTCTTACAGGACTGCAGTACAGTTATTAAACTGTCCCTAAATCATAATCCATACTCAGATTTTATCAATTATAGCTATTTTTTCTGGTCCAGGATACAATCCCCGATCACAAATTACATTTTGCATTTTATTGTCAAGCCTTTTTAGTCTGTTTTAATGTGGAAGTGTCGCTTCGCCTTTCTCATCCTAGACATTTTTTAAAGTCATTTTGTGGAATGTTTCTCAATTTGAGTTTGGCTCATGTTTCCTCCTGAGTAGATCCAAGTTATGCATTTTTGGCAGAAATGCCACTGAATTGAAGTAATGTTCCTCTGATTGCTGTGTATTGGAAGGCACATTATATCAGTTTGGCAAAAACTCAGTTCTGGAGTCACTGTCATGGCTTGAGCTTGGTGCCCTACAGGATGTGAATGGATGTTTCCAACCTCTGGTTTCATGCACTACAATTGTGGGCAAAAAGGAGCACATACTTGCACAGACACAACCTGTCTGAAGGCCGGTGAGGTGGAAAGCCCAGATTATCCTGTTGGATGATGATGAACATATGGCTCAGTGGCCCCCAGCACCCTAGCCAACAGCCACCAACTCCCAGAAGCAAGGCCACCTAGCCATCAGCTGACTGTAGACTCAGGAATGAGCCCAGCTAAGACCAGCAGAAAGACACAAACTGCTGATCCAAAAAACTAGTGAACTAAATAAATAGTTGTTTTAAGCTACTACATTTTGGGGTGGTATGTTACATAGCAAAAGCTTAACTGATACCCCTTGTTCAGCAGGGAAAGAGAAGATTCAGAAGCCCCACATATTCATTGAGATCACTGAAGAAAGAAGATCATGCTCTTTTTCTTCTGGCTCTGTGCTGTCTCTCTCAGGGATCTGAACTTTTGCCTATGTCTGGGATTCAAAGGATCATCTTAATTTATTTACGTGGTTTTGAAAAACAAACCAGGGATATTGTTCTCACCAAGCTTTACAGAGCAAGGCCACATCATTCAGTAGCTCAACTGGGCAGATATCAGAAGACTCTCCCAACACACTCTTCCATAGCAATGAGCAAATGAAGACTTTCTGGAGGAAGACCCCATAGGAGCAGGGAAGCTTGTCACTGATAAGTATCTAACAAGCAACAACCAGGGCCTTGGGGTTCACCTGGCTCTCTGATTTCCCAAATCCTCTGACCCCTTCCCTGGAGATTAGGATTTGGTGCCTCTAGGATGCAGCCTGAAGGAAATTTCCTTTGGAGAAAAATGATTTTTTCCTTGTTCGTGTGCTGTCCACCGTGAAGAGAGACTGGAGGGCAAGCTACATCAACAACTGTAGCAGATGCTGTCAGGGGTCTGCCCCGTATTGCCTAGATACCTTTACCAGTTCCATGCACAGGGGTTCCCGGTGGGCATCTCTGCATCTTTGTTGGAAGGTGGCTCCCAGGCTCCTGGAACCCTTTGCCAGCACACAGCATAAACCACAAGTGCTTGGAAGTTTACATCCCCTGAAGCAGCCAACGACTGACAGGCGCAATGGTATAAATACCCCTGCTCTCACCTCTGATCAGAAAAACTGGTGACCTACATTGTCTCCAGAGATCTCCTATAGGACTGAGCCAAGGTCACCCCCACCTCACTGCCACTGTGGACTTTGCTCAGTATTGCCACACCGCTTGGTCTACTTCCTTTCTCTTCCCACTGCCCCATTGCCCTATTGGCTTTTCTTTGGAAGACTTCCTCATCTCAAAGTCTGCCTCTGGAGAATGCAACCTAAGATGGCGACCACCATGCGCACCCTCCAGAAACTTGACAAAGGCTCCGGCACTGACCTTCATCCTTAATACAAAGGGCACTGTACGTGCCACCAGGAACTGGGTTGCTTTCAATTCTCACATCAACGGCTCTCGTGATTTGCTGTTCATTGCTCCCTTTGCTACACACGGTTGTCCTGAAATAGACAAAGAAGACACTGTGTTAGGAGGACTAACTAAGAATAGGAAAGAACAATTATTTTCTGCCATCAGTTCCCAATCAGCAGAGATTTTTCTGAGTTAGAATCTTTGGCTGAAAGCATCAGTAGGGAAGTACTCTTCCTAGACAAAGGCCTGCAATCAGGAAGACACAGGTGATGCCTCCGTTGAAGCTCACATGTATCAGTTCAAGTTTCAATGCCAGTACGTTGTTGATCTTTTCTAGTGTATGTGTGTTTTAAAATGCTGCTTTTCTTATTAGTTCCTTTCTTTTTGAGGGGGTTTGTTTCTATTCTTTTTCAGATTTCTTAAAATGGATCATTACTTAGTTCATAAACCTTTAGCCTTTTCTCTGTTCTTATACAAGCATCTAAATGTTTTACATTTCCCTCTAGATATAGCTTTAGTAGCATCTTATAAGTTTGAGTACGTGATGGTTTTAGTATCATTCTGTTCTACATACATGCTACTTATTAACAAACCATAATTTATTCTTCTCCCATGATTTATTTAGGAGTATCTTTGGCAAACAGCAAATAGTAGAATTTTAAAAAAAGTTTGTTTTCTAAATGGAGCATCTCATCTATTTTAATCACCTAATTTAATCACAGATCTCTTTGAATTGAAATCTGCCATCTTTCTATTAGTTCTGCACATTCTCTCTTTTCTTTCCCCTATTTTGATTGTTTGAATCTTTTTTTGGCATTCTCTTTTTCATATTGGTCTGGAAATTATATAGCCTTTTACTATCCTTTTAGTGGTTATGACTTATTAATATTTAATATACTTTTATTCTCTTCTCCAACAATACAACTTAAAAATACTTAGAATAATATGTATTAGCATACTTAAAACACTACCTGATCTATGTGCCATTTTTTAGTGTTTGGTATTATTATTACTGCTTTATATAATTACATAATTTCAATTTACCCCATATTCACTCTTGACATTCATTTCTTTTTTGCATCTCCAGCCTTCCACCTGTAATTATTTTTCTCCTGCCCGAAGATTAGCCTTTAGTGTTTCTTTTAGTGCAAGTCCGATATAATGGATTTTCTCACCTTTTGTCTGTCTGAAAATGTCTTTATTTTACTTTTATTCCTGGAAGATATTTTCTCTGGGTATAAAATTCTAGGTTGGCAATAATTTTCTTGCAGCTCTTTGAAGTACCACTCAGTTTTTTTGGGGCTTTCATTGTCCATTTATTGTTGCTCCTTGGAAGGTACTTGTTATTACTTTTAATATTTTTCCTTTATATTTGATTCTTACCAGTTTCACCATGATGTGCTAAGTTTGAATTTATTTGTCCTACTCAGGTTTTGTAGGGCTTCTTAAATCTGTTCCTGGGTGTTTTTCTTCAGTCGTAGATAAGTCTCATATTGCTTTTGCTCCTTCTTTCAGAATGCCAATTACATGCATCTCTTCCTTTGACCCTTTCTTCTGTATTTTTCATCCTTTTTTTCCCTTCTGTTCTTTATTCTGGATACGTCCTCTGAAATATCTTCTAGTTCACTAATTTTTTCTTTGGCTCCTTTAAAATCAGCTGTTAGATCCATCCATTATGCTCTTAATTTCAGTTATTGTATGTTTCATTTCTAGAGTTTCCATTTGGTTATTTTCATAGTTTCAGTCTTTTGCCAAAATTCTCCTTCTCGTCTTCTGTATCTTTGAACATTTGAGAAAGTTATTTAAAGTCTGTATCTACCAATGCAAATATTTAGAGTTTCTATTCATTGTCTTTATTCTGGTTGCCTTATTTCCTATGTGACTGTTTATTTTATATTGTGGGACAAATCCTATATTTTCCAAAAATTGTGGAAATAAATTGCCTAGGATAAGGTTATCTCCTTCTAGAGAGGATTTTTAAAATCAGTTCTGCTAGCTATTGGGAACACTGGAACTCCAGTATCATCTCAACCCACATTCGTGGCTCCAGAGGATTTTGAGCTATGCTGTGGCTACTATGAGGGCCTGTAAGCTTCTTCCAACTTACTCTTACTCCTGGGGTACGGTCCTGTAAAGTCCCAGCCCAAAGCAAAAGACTCTGCAGGCGCTGACTACACAAAAACCTGACTGCAAATCTCTGTCCTAGTGCTATGGGGCCATCTAAATTGCTACTGTTTTTCAGCCATCCTTTATGGAATCTGCAAAAGCTTCCAGGAGGCAAGTGGTTCCCCATTCTGTATTCACCACTCTAGGCCTCCATCCTCCTCTGGATTTATGTGTACACTCAACACAAATTCACGGACATACAGATCAGATCTACTATATATTTACTATGCCATCAATTGCAAGATGCACCGTGCATTTAATAGTTGGTTTTCAGTGTGGAGGGGGGATGGCTGTATAGGAAAGACCCACAGTGAAATGCATATACTGATGATCAGATGCTTCTTGGTTCCAGAAACATTAAAATAGTTTTATTTTTAGAATTAATATGTTATGTAGTAAATATATCAAGTAAGTATGTTTGCTACAAAGAAATATTATCTCAGCAAGGTAGAGATCTACTAATATGTCCTAACATTTTAGAGCAAACCTAGAGAGGATGGACCTTTCTAAAGACCCAGTCCTGATTTGTGATGCCTGGGAGACGGAAGTCTGGTTCCAAGCTGGCTCTTCAGAATTCCTGAATACCCTGGTTATCTGATGCAATGATAATAACAGACTTATGAAAAATATCCACATTTGACTACACTGTGGAAACATGCATGTATAGGACCTGTTTTGTCTGTTCAGGAATCTGGACGTAAAATGTCAGGCAGAGAGGGCCATGGGTCCAGAGTCACTGGAAGGCTCTGGATGTAGCCTAGCTGTCCTCTTTAATCAACTGCTTCTTCATACATGACACAACCAGAGATGTAAGTCAGCCTGGTTGTGTGTGTTTTCTATGGCCATCTGCCAGCCCATCTTCAAGGTTATTATCAGCCAAAGTAGTTGCTGGAGCCCACTTTGCTCTTTCACATTCCTGTGGCATGAAGGAGACAGTGGAAGGGCTCCTGCCTTTTCTGAGTATGACTAAAGAAGCAGTTAGCAGAACGAATGGGCAGTTTTCTCCTAGCTAGCCACAAAAATTGTTTCTCCACAAGGATCCCTTGGGTCAGGAACTCAGAGAGGGCACGATGCAAATGGCTTGTCTCTGCTCTCTAGTCTCTAGTCTAGGGCCTGAGGTGGGAAGACTCATAGCCTGGCAAGAACTCAACAGCTGGGGGTGAGACTCACACTGAGGCACCTTCACTCACATTTCTGGCAATTAATGCTGGCTATGGGCTGGGACAGCAATGGGGGCTGTCAGTGGAGGCACCTATGTGGGGCATCTCCCCGTGGCCTGGGCTTCCTCACATCAGGGCCTGCTCAGGATAGGCAGACGTCTTACTTGACATCTCAAAAGTGACTGTCCCAGAAATCTGGGCATGGATTTTTCCGACCTAACCTCAGAAGTCACATGGTATCACTCCTGCTGTATTCTATCGGTCAAGGCAATCCTATACCGTCCCTGATTCAAAGGGAGAGGACACAGACCCCACTTATCAATGGGAGTAACGTGAAAGAATTTGTGGCCCTACCATCCTCCTATTCATATGTATTCACAGAGAAAAAGAGATAAAGAATATATACCAGTTAAGAGTCACTACAAGCGAGGTGGGGAAAAAGAAAAAAGAGAAAAAACTTGGTACTTTTACATGTATCTGTATTATTTGAAATTCTTTACAAGCATGTATTATTTTTGTAACTTAAAAAGGAAATGCAAAATAACAAAGGGGGGGGAAAACTGTGACAGAATGCCACAAAAATGTTCTTATTGAGAACTCAAAACAAGAATGTGCTGGAAGCTACTGCACATTGCATGTTGCCTAACCTGGCACCTCAATAAAACAATTACTGAGCTCCCATACAAGCCCTGGTAGGGTAGCGGGGGTGAATGGGAAGGAGAGCTTTCCCCAGCACACCTGACTTACCCGAGGGTGCCATCTGCCAACCAGCCGGTGGTGCACACTGCAAAGGCACAATCCTGGACCACCCTCCGCAGCTCTTCCGCAGACACCAGGTGAGCACCCCTGCTCTTGCAGGAAAGCCGAGCCACCTCCAGTTCTAGGCCCCGAGAGCCATTCTGAGACTCCAGCACAAAAAGCTTCCCTGTGTGGGGACAAGCACGAACACAGGCTTACTCCAGGATCCACGGGAATTTAACCTCAGCAAACTTACTCTCTGGCAGACACCTGTCAAAACTGGAGTTTCCCGCTTGCCTGAAGACCCGAGGGCAGCAACTACCCCATTGCACTCATCCCCGGGACTAGGTGATGACAATTACTTTGGGGTTTTCATCTGTTTTTTGCTCCTGTCTTCTTTAAAAAAAAAAAAAAAATTAACCATCTGCTCTGGTATGTTTATCTGGATAAACCCTTCAAATCTTCCTTTCTACAAGCTATTTTACAAACACCACGGGGTAAGGCTCAGTGTTCTCCATTCCCCTGAGTTGGGTCAGTTGGTGTCCAGGGCACTGATTTAGGTCTCAGCTCTGCCTTCTGCCCCAGCCCTAGGTGACCCCATACACAGTTCTCCCCACTCCCTTCTCTCTGTCCTATTGTCTCAGGACACTGTCAGGCCCTTCCCGCAATGAGTTCACTTGTGCTTGCTGCCATTTCTCCCAGACTGGACGAAGTAGCAGAAGCCATATCTGGTGCACCTTGGCTCGCTGCAGCACATGGGCATGTAGAGGGCCTCAAAAAACATGTGGCAGTTGAGTGGAATGGAAACATGAATTCAGGCAGAGGTGGAAGCTGAGGCTGAAAGCAAAAGAGAGATTTAGGCAAGAAACCCATGGAGGAGGAGGGGAGCACTGCAGTCCCTAGGAGCTTCCTGTAGAGATGAAGCAATGCCTTAGATAACCTGACCAAGTTTAAGGTAAAGGCAGGGGAGAAAAACACCCAGTTAGAATGAGACACTTCACTTCTGTCTATTAGCAAAATTATCATAATATACTGATTTTATTAGAATGAGACACTTTAACTGTTATCAACTGCAAAATAACTATAATAAATATAATTATCCCTCAGCTTTGGAACCAAAGTTATGAGAAAAATGCAAAAATGTTTCACAAGAAACATATCTATAGGTGACTGGTCCTCCCTTAGACTTGGTACCAGTATGCAATACACAACCTGAACAGCTATACTTGATGGTTTGGTCTGGAGAAGCATGTTCTCCAAGACACTTTTGTATTAATGGCATTTGCCTATCTGGAAAAAAATATTATGAAATTTAACTAAAGTGTTGATGGCCAAGCCCCCAAGCAAGGGAGATAAAAGTGAAAGCCCAGGGCTCACAAGGTAGGTAATGTGATAGACCTCTCCACCCACCTCTACCACCATCTCATGCACATATTAATACACAAAGCTTGGACCCTGAAGGGTTAAACTCTCAGGATAAGAGTGAACAAGGATAAACAATATTCCCTCCCCTCATTCTCAAGGCACAGTTGGAAGAGTTGTCTTGGTGCTAGGAACCCACGCACTGATCCTCATTGGGAATTGCAAAAACTGGCCTCTGAGATACTTTAAGCCATGAATTTAGCTTAAAGTGGCTTGAGATCGACATTTATCCAGACACCTGATAAGAACAAACATAAATCTTGTCTGGAGAAAAAATATTTTCATCTTATGCTTCAGGAAATCCCATGCAAATATTTTTTTCAAAGGCAATGACAATGACAGTAAAATACAACTAAGTGTGTAGGAAACAAGACACCACTAGTGAGAAGCAACATATAAAACATTCAGCAGACACTGACTTACAGAGAAATCTGATACTGGTATTAATCGGCATAGATTATAAAGCAGTGATGATTACTACATATAAGGGAATAAAAGGCACATCTGAAAATACCTACAAAGAATAGAAAACTATAAAAAGTGGCTTAGCTGATAAGAAAAAGAGCCAGATAGGATTTCTAGAAATTAGATACAATGATAAATTAAAAATGCAATGGATATTTTTGGCTGCATATCAGACACAATTGAACAAAGAACTTATTCTTGAAACAGAAATCAGAAGAAAGCATCCAAAATCTAGTAAAGAGACAAAAAAGTTGGAAAATAATAAGATAATAAAGAGACATGGAGGAAAGAATAAGATTCCAGAAATAAACCTTCACATTTACAGCCAACTGATTTTCAACAAGGGTGTCGAGACTATCCAATGGGAAAAGAAGAGTCTTTTCAAGAAATGATGCTGGGACAATTGTACAGGCACCTGTAAAAGAGTGAAGTTGGACTCCTGCCTCACCCCTTACACGATAATTAACTCAAAGTGAATCAGACTTAAAAGGAAAAGCTAAAACTGTAACACCTCGAAGAAAACATAGGAAATCTCTGTCATCTTGGATTATGCAGTGGTTTCTTAGATATAACAACAAAAGCCCAAACAAAGAGAAAATACATAAATTGAACTTCATCAAAAGTAAAAACTTTTTGCTTCAGAGGACAAAATCAATAAAGCGAAAAGACAACCCATAGAATGAAAGAAAATTTCTGCAAATACACATCTAATAAGAAACTTGTATATAGAATGGGTAAGGAACTCCAAAAACTCAACAACAATTAAAGAAACCAAATAACTTGACTGGAAGTGGGCAAAGGACTTTAAAACATGTTTCTCTGAAGAAGTTTTACAAATGGCCAATAGAACATGAAAAGATGCTCAACAGCATTAACCATTAGGGAAATGCAAATCAAAACTACAATTAAATACCACTTCATACCCATTACGATGGCTATTAATAAAAAAAGAAACAACAGAAAATAACAAGTGTTGGCAGAAATGTAGAGAAAAATTGGAACCCTTATGCATTGCCGGTGGGATTATAAAGTAGTGCAGCTGCTGTGGAAAATAATACAGTGATTCTCAAAAAACTAAACATGAAATTACCATGTGATCCAGCAATTCTAATTCTGGGTATATGCCCAAAGAAGTAAAAGCAGGGACTTGAATGATATTTGTACAAATTCATATCAGTATTATTCACAACACCCAAGGGTGGAAGCAACAAAAGCGTCCATCAACAGATGAATGGATAAACAAAATGTGGTATGTATATATATAATCAGCCTTAAAAAGAAGAAAAATTGGACACATGCTACAACATGGATAAATCTTGAAGACATTAAGTGAAATAAGTCAGTCAAATTACAGAGACAGAAAATAGAATGGGGGTTACCAAGGGCTGGGGTGGGGAGGAAAGAGAACTAATGCTTAATGGGGACAGAATTTCAGCTGGCAAAGACGAAAAAGTTCTGGAGATGAACAGTGGTTGGTGATGGTTGCCCAACAATGTGAATATACTTAATGCCACAGAATTGTATACTTAAGAAGGGCTAAAATGGTATTTAACAAATGGGTAAAGGGTCTGAATAGACATCTTTTTTTTTAAGATTTTATTTGTTTGAGAGAGAGAGCGAGAGAGAGAGCACGAGCAGCAGGGAGCAAAGGGAGAGGGAGACCAGACTCCCCACCAAGCATGTGGCTCAATCCCAGGACCTGGGGATCATGACCTCAGCTGAAGGCAGATGCCCAACCGACTGAGCCACCCAGGCACCCCTGAATAGACATCTTTAAAGAAATGGTCAATCAGCACATGAAAAGATGGTCAACATGGTTAGCCAACAGAAAAATGCAAATCAAAACTACGAGATATTACTTCATATCCACTAGGATGGCTATCATCAAAAAGACATGTTTTGACATAAGTGATGATGAGGATGTGGAAAAAGTAGAACCTTCAAACACTGCTGGTGGAAATGTAAAAGAATGTAGCTGCCTTGGAAAATAGCCTAGCAGTTTCTCAGTTAATAGTAGTTCCTCATAGAGTTACCATATGACCCAGGGATCACACTCTTGGGTGAATACCCAAGAGAACTAAAAACACATGTTTACATAAAAACTTCTATATGAATGTTCATAGCAGCATTATGTGTAGTAAATAATAAATTAAGTTCATAATTGTAAAATTGTGTCTAATAGCCAAAAAGTAGAATCCACCCAATGACCATCAACTGATGAATGGATCAACAAAGTACGGTATGAATATCCATACAATGGAATGTTATTTGGCAGTAAAATGAAATGAAGTGCTGATACATGCTGCAAATGGATAAAAACATTATGCTAAGTGAAAGAAGCCAGTCACAAAAACCCACATATTTTATGATTCCATTTACATGAAATGTCCAAAACAGGCAAATTCACAGAGACAGAAAGTAGTTGCTGAGGACTTGGGAGGTTGAGGAGAAACAAGAAGTAAATGCTAATGGGTATAGGGTTTATTTTGGGGCCAAAAAATGTTCTAAAATTGTGTGTAGTGATTCATAACTCTGTGAGTATACTAAAGACCAGTGAATCACACACTTTAAATGGGTGAATTGTACGGCATATGAATCATATTTCAATAAAGCTGTTATTGAAAAAGGCATCACTAGAGAAGAACAGGTTCTGTTATGATGATAGTTATTTCATGAGTAATATAAAATAATTTTAAACACTTAAATAAATAACAACTCTAGACTGGAAGAAGGCAATATTAACAAAACTACAGAGATTTGGAAAAATCCACAGTGCTTATAATTTTTTAAAAAGATTTTATATATTTATTTGACAGAGAGAGAGACAGTGAGAGAGGGAACAAGAGCAGGGTGAGTGGGAGAGGGAGAAGCAGGCTTCCTGCTGAGCAGGGATCCCGATGCGGGGTTCGATCCCAGGATCCTGGGATCATGTCCTGAGCCGAAAGCAGACGCTTAATGACTGAGCCACCCAGGCGTCCCTCACAGTGTTTATAATTTTAAACACAATCCTCCTCAATAATTGATAAAACAGGAAAAAATTGGAACAGATATAGAAGATTTAAGCAACAAAATTAACACACTTGATGTAAAGATCAATGCACAATACTGCATACTACAAAATACACATTCATTTTAGACACACACAGGACATTTATAAAATTGATCAAATACTGAGCTACAAGACAAATTGAAAAACTTTTCAACACTCAAATCATACAAAGCATATTTTTAAACCACAATACAAACAACCTAAAATCATTTGTTTTATTTATCAAACACTTATACAGTGTTTACTATGGTCCAGGTGTTATTCAAATTGCTTTACAAATGTTCATTAAATTAATTCTTATAACCACTCTATGATGTAGGTGTTATTATCATCATCCCTATTTTTTTAAAGATTTTATTTATTTATCTGATAGCACGCGAGCACACAAGCAAAGGGAGCAGCAGAGAGAGAGGGAGAAGTAGGCTCTCCACTGAGCAGGGAGCCCTATGCAGGGCTCAATCTCAGGATCCTGGGATAATGACCTGAGCTGAAGGCAGACGCTTAACTGACTGAGCTACCCAGGCACCCCTATTAATCCCTATCTTATAGTTAAGATTTAGTATTAATGATTTGTCCAAGATCACACAGCTGGGATACAAAACCAGGCTCTATATCAGTGATCCTAACCACTGAATTATACTGCCTCTCAATAGCAAAGTAATAACTAGGAAAATCCCCTTGTGCAAGGAAATTACAAAATATATTTTTAAATAAACCATGGTTCAAAGAAGAAACCACAACTGAAATAAAACATTTTTATGTAAGTGACAAAAACTGGTAGAGAAACTAAAGTAGTATTTAAGGGATATTTATAGCCTCAAATGCTCATATTACAAAAGTAGAATGGTTGGGGTGCCTGGGTGGCTCAGTCATTAAGCGTCTGCCTTCCGCTCAGGTCATGATCCCAGGGTCCTGGGATTGAGCCCTGCATCAGGCTCCCTGCTCTGTGGGAAGCCTGCTTCTCCCTCTCCCACTCGCCCTGCTTGTGCTCCCTCTCTCACTGTGTCTCTCTCTGTCAAATAAATAAATAAAATCTTGAAAACAAAACAAAACAAAACAAAAGTAGAATGGTTGATAATCAATGATCTAGTTTTCTATCTGAAAAACACAGAAGAACATAAAATTAAAGTTTCTAAAGAAGTAGAAGGAAATAACAAAGACAGAACAGAAATCAATGAAATGAAAAGCAGACATACAATAGAGAAAATAAAGTCAAAAGCTGCTTCTTTCTAAAGAATGACAAAATTGATAAATCCCTAGCAAAATTGATCAAGACAAAAAGAGAGAAAATACAAATTAGCAATATCAAGAATGAAAGGGGACATCACTACAGATCCCATGGACAGTGAAAAGATAAGGAGATTATGATGTTATATATGCCAGTACATCTGGATGACAATTTAGATGGAATGGACAAATTTCATAAAAAAACAGATTTAACAAAACTGACCCAAAATGAATAAGAAAATCTGAATATCTCTTTATCTACTTAAAGAAATTAAATTCATCATTTAGGGGCCCCTGGGTGGCTCAGTTGGTTGGGCGTCTGCCTTCAGCTCAGGTCATTATCCCAGAGTCCTGGAATCAAGCCCTGAGTCAGGCTCCTTGCTCAGTGGGGAGCCTGCTTCTCCTTCTCCCTCTGCCCCTTCACCCCTGCTTGTGCTCTCCCTCCTTCTCTCTCTCTATCTCTCTCCCGCTCTGCTCTCTCTCTCAAATAAATAAACAAAATCTTTAAAAAATAATAAATTCTTCCCATGAGAAAAACTTCAAACACATATGACCTCACTACCAAACACTAAATAAAACAAAACAACAGCTCACCTTGTGGCAATCTTTTCAAAGAACAGAAGAGGGAACAACTTCCCAACTTATTTTAGAAATCATCATAATCCTAGGGGCACCTGGGTGGCTCTGTTGGTTAAGTATCCGACTCTCGGTTTTGGCTCAGGTCATGATCTCAGGGTCGTGAGATCAAGCCCCACATTGGACTCTGCTCTCAGCGTGGAGTCTACTTGACACACTCTCTCTCTCTCTCCCTGTACCCCTCTCCCATGCTCTCTCTCTCTAAAATAAATAAATAAATCTTAAAAGAAAATCATCACAATCCTGATGTCAATACCTGACAAGAATATTTTAAGAAATGAAAATTATAGGCCAATATATCTCATGTACACAGAGTCAATAACCCTAAATCTGTTTCCTTCACTCCAGGCTCAGTTGTAGGTCATCTCTTCTCACTGTGAAACCTTTCCCTAGGATCCTATCCACACACATCGTTTCAAAGACTATACTTAAAACAGATCACTCACATTTTTCTCTTCAGTCCAGACCCTTTCCAATCACCCCATCCACCTCTATACCTCCACCCTCTCTCACCTGCACAAATAAAATGGCCTCTCTATATCTAGTCTTGCCCTGGTCCCATCCATTCTTGCTACATCACAATCAGGGTGATCTTTTCAAAACGCAAATCTTATCAGTCACTCTACTACTGGAAATCATCCAGTGGCTTCCTTTCCTTTTTTGGATTAAAACAAAACTTTTTCTATGAGGACCCACCTCACTGTACCCACTCCAATTTCCTTAGCATCATTTCAAACCACTTCCACTTTGGACTCTTGGCTCCAGTCATTTTGTCTCTTATCACATGGCCCATTTTCCTGGCTCACAGTTTTTTTTGGTACATGCTATTCTCTACCCAGACACTCATTCTTCCCCCTCAGACCCTCCCACACCAAATCCAAACTTCCTAGTATATGCTTTCATAGTACCTCTATCCTTTAATTTCATCATCTATCAAAATTACAACTTCACATTTCATTCATGTAATGATTTATCTACTGACTCTCTAACCCATTGGATTTTAAGCTACCTGATAGCAAGGACCTATTTCTCCTCACCATTCTATCCCCAACAGCAAGGCCTGTACCTAGCCTACAGTAGATGCTCAATAAGTTATCTGTTGAATTAACGAATCTTTTCCTGTAATGCAGTTAATTTGCGTTCAGTTAATGTGAAAATTTTTCAATTTCAAAAGTATTTTAAAAGTACAGTAGAAAAAGGGGAAAAATACAGATATCTTTTATATATGAGATGCATATCTTATTAGTCAAATGTAAACTAAATGCTCTTTATTTTATCTCATTGACTTATTTTTAATAGGTCCATAGAGTTAAGAACTCCAGTCTCTCTTCAAATGTCTATAACACATCACAGTTTAGCTGAACATTTCTTCTTCTTCCTTCCATCACCGTAGAACACAAATAACTAAATGTGGAAAGTGGTAGTAGTTAAACATATATTTGGTAAAGAAAAGAATCCTTTCATAATATAGGTTCTAATTCTTCAATGGTTTTATTATAAAAGTTGGAACTCAGCAAATGGAGTTTCTTGAAAGCAAGTGTACCCATAATTGGGGAAGGGGGGAGAAGGAAAGAAAGGAGAAGGGAGAAACGGAAGCATTTCTGGCAAGGGGCAACAAGAAAACAAGCTCTCATGCTGCGGTTACTCTCTCCTTCTCCAGTGATATTTCTGCCTCCATTTTTCTATGACCCACCTCAAGCCAGACAGCGCAAAATATTGATCCATATCCACTTGGCATTCCATTTAAGCAGTAACAATAGGGTGAAACTCTAAAGTCTCATGGTTTGCAGAGATATTTCTTTAAAAGGAATTAAGGTGGTACAATAGTATACATTGTTCCAAAAGTTAATACTAGCTCCAATTTATTCTACTTGCATTCCTTAAAATCAGCTAATTTTCATGATTCAGTGTCAGGCAAAAAAAATGCTACAGTAAAAAATGAACAGTGGATTGACTGCTAATAGGTATGGGATTTCATTTCAGGGGATAGACATTTTCAGGAATTAGATCATGGTGATGGCTGAACAACATAGTGAATATACTAAAAACCACTGAATCGTAAATTTTTAAATGGTAAATTTTATGTGAATTACATCTCAATTTTTAAAACATGAACAGTTATCATGAGGAACCTTCAAAGTTAAAACTGTTTTCTTCTCTAACACTCTGAGGATATGAAGAAATAAGGCATTCATCCTTAATTAGGAGCAAAGAGTTTTTCAAACTGGCACTTAGGACAAAAAGTACCAAAAATTCTAAGATAATATCTGGAAGTTTTTTCTTACTTTACTCCTTTCCTTAACCACCATGCTTCTTTTTGTGGGGTCTTCTCATTTCACCCAATATTGCTTACTAAAAATCAATGACATTTAAAAATACACAAAGCATCCCAAATCAGGCAAGGGTTTTTCTCCTTCATCAATTTAATTTGTCCCAAGCTTGGATTTTCTAGAAACTGCTCATGGATGTGAGAACTGCTGGCTTCTTTTCTTTCAGATCCTCCTTCACCAAGTCAACGGGGTTTTGTTCCAAAATCAAAATACAGCTGAATTAGCTTTTCGAAACTTAGCCGGTATAAGGCTCTGATCCCGCCAATTTAAGAGAAGTACTGAAAGCTGAATTGAGGTTCAAGAAACAAGAAACAAACAAACAAAGCAGATCGATTCTTATAACCTGCAATAATCTCTTCCTCATCTACTTCTCCAGCTTTGTAACAAACGACATCCTCACCTTGCAATCTCGGCTCCAGCCAGTTTATCATTTATCCCAATTTCCCTGCCACTCACAGGGCCTTTACACATGCTATTTCCTCCCCCACAAGACACTCTCCTCTCCCCTTTATCGAGTTGATTTCCACTCATCTTTCAAATATTCTTGGACCAAGCCAAACTACCGAGGGAGTCTTCTCCGCCTTGCCACCAGGAGTACGTTTAATACACGTGGAGTATCTCGGCAGAAGAGGTTCTAGGGCACCCTAGACGTGACTTCATTGTAAAGACCTCTCATGAAGATCGGAAAGCTAGCGGCAGGCTCCCGGACCATCGCACAGGCTTTCTGCGGTGCTTGGAGGAAGGGTTCACAGGCCGGGGTTGGGGTGGGGGGCGCTGGGGCGAGCGGAGACCCGGTGGGTCAGGCGAGGGACACAGAGTCGCCCGGGCGCCGCTCGCGTCATTCCCCTTCAGGCTTGCGGGAGGGAGCACCCCAGCGAGCCTCGCTTTCCCCACCTGGACCCCACGCGCCACCCCCGGCACCCCGCTCACACTCACCATCCGCCCGCACGGAGAGGCACGGCAGACCGAGCAGGAACAGCGCCGCCGCCCAGAGCTGGGCGCGGGGGCCGCGTCCCTCGGCAGCCATGGTCCGGGCGTCCCCGCGCGGCGGGCTTGAGCGCGGGCTCCGGTGGCGGGCGCGGCTGCGCGGCCACTGCCCCTCGTGCGCCACTCGGTTGTGCGCGCTGCGCTCTGCTCCGTGGGCTTCGCGCCCCGCGGCGCCGCAGGGAGGAGCGCGCGCAGCTCTGGGAGGCCGGGCGCTCGGAGCCGCCGCGCTGGGGCCCCCGAGCTCCCGGGGGTCTCGTCCGAGGCGCCGGGGAGGCGGCTGGACCCAGCTCCGCCTTCGCGCCGGGCACCTGGAGGCCTCGGTACCAAAAGAGGCTGCGCCGGACGCCGAGCTCCCGGGGCGCCGCCGGGGCGGAGGGTGAGGGCGCGGGGAGGCGGGGAGAGCCGGCTGCAGGGAATCCCCGCCTGCTTGGGGGACCCTCGGCGAAAGGGTGACGCAGTCTGAGAGGCCGGGCCCTCCGGGAGGACCATTCAAAACCGAATGCCTAATTCTGTCCTCTGCCTCTTGACTTTGCAGTTGGCGTCCTGCCACAGAGCAAGAACATGTTTATGAAAAAGAAGAATCTAACTTGCCAACCTCACTCTAAGGAGTGAAACCCACGGAACAGCGAGACGACTCCTAAAAGCGGAGCTTGAAAGTCCCTCAGAAAGGAGCATCTTCGAGACGCTTCCTTCACGACTTTTCAATGTACGCCCTAACATTTCTCAGCACCGACAGTGAGGGCGTGGTTGTCACCATTTTCACACCTTCCAAATCAAGGCTTCCTTGACCAGGAGAGGGCCTAAAATTCGGATTCTGTTGATCTGGGCTGGGAATCCACATTCTAAAGTGGCCACGTCTGGGGCGCCTGGGTGGCTCAGACGTTGGGTGTCTGCCTTCAGCTCAGGTCATGATCCCAGGGTCCTGGGATTGAGCCCTACATCGGGCTCCCTGCTCAGCGGAGAGCCTGCTTCTCCCTCTCCCACTCCCCCTGCTTGTGTTCCTGGTCTTACTGTGTCTCTCTCTGTCAAATAAACAAAATCTTTAAAAAAATAAAATAAAAATAAAGTGGCCACCTCTGGATTGGTTCCTTTTTCCCCGCTCACCCCCTGTCCTCTTCATAGCATTAGCATCATTCAGTGAGGGAAGGAGGATTTGCATTTTTCGCCCGTGGAGTAATAAAGATCAGTATTGTAATTGGGGCACCCGTGACACTGTACAGTGTGCAAGTCCCTTACACCTTCATGTACTGGTCAACAGATATGTAGGGAGTGCCCACAGTGTTCCTGACCCTGTGAGAGGTTCCAATCCGTCCAAAAAAAAGCTCAAACTTAAATAAGACAGATATTTAAGGAAGATGAACAAGTAATTGGTGCTAAAAGGAACAGATGCTTGTCCCCAAGACAATGAACTAGGACACAGACATCAAAAGACTACCTACTTTCTTTTTTAAGGTAAAAACTGGAATTTGAACCCACATCTGATTTACTACAGGTGTCATTTTTCAGCTCATATAATTTTTGAAGTGTACTGAAAAGATATCTCCTCTCCTTGTTCTAAATGTCAACGACAAAGCTATTATTAGTGATTAATTCCTTTGTGAAATAAAACTTTGCTTTTAGGGGCTCCTGGGTGACTCAATCTGTTAAGTGTCAGACTTCTCATTTCAGTTCAGGTTATGATCTTAGGGTTGTGAGATTGAGCCCTGCCTTGGGCTCTGTGCTGAGCATTGGAGCCTTCTTAAGATACTCTCTCTCTCTCTCTCTCTGTCTCTCTCTGCCCCTGCCCCACCCTCTCCCTTAAAAAAAAAACACAAAACTATGCTTTTAAAATAAAAATGCTCTGGGGCGTTATATGCGGTAAGGCCCGACAATCATTCACATGTAAGTGTAAATCAATTTACTTAGCTACTTCTCTTCTAACAGCTAGCTGGTAACCTAAGGAGTGAGACTTCACATGTCTGAGCTGGAGGGGACCTTTTAAAGCCTGATTATTGCTGAGAATGGAGGGGAGGGGCCAGGAGGCACCTGCAGGAGCTACTGACAGACTCCCTCAGGAGCTGTGCCACTAATGTGTTTAGAATAGTCAGTTGACCATTACTGTCTAATCCTGACAAATTTTAAAATTTGTCTTTTTTCAGATCTGTCTTGGCCTGTCCTAATTTGGGGAGATGGCATGCTCTAAAGTTTTGGTACCCCTGATTTAGAAACTGTTTGTCACTTTCCTATACAGTTAAATATATAGCTCTCCTGTGACAAAGAATTCCACCTCTAGATGTATATCCAAAAGAAATAAAATTTATATCCACAAAAAGATTTGTACACAAATTTCACAGCAGCTTTAGTCACAATAAAGTTGGAAGCAACCCAAACATCATCAACAGATGAATAGAAAAACAAACTGTGTCGTAGTCACACAATGGAATGCTATTTAGCAATCAAAAGAATGAAATACTGATATACTCAATAATGTGGTTGCTGAGTCAAAGAAGCCTTACATAAAAGAGTTTATGATTCCATTCATATGAAGCTTAAGAGGGGCAAAACTAATCTGTGGTGACAGTAAATACTGTGGTTGCGTTTGACAGGGCAGGAACACAAAGGAACTTCTGACCTAATGGGAATGGTCTATATCTTGATGAGGATGGTGGTCACATGAGTGTATACATTTGTTAAATCTCACTAAACTGTACACTTAAAATCTGTGCATTTTCTTGCTTAATAGCAAATACTTCAAAATTTGCCCTAAAGAATAAGTAGGTTTAATAGAAGAAAGTTTAATAAAAGGACCACGTATAGAGATGTGGGTAGGGTTGAGAGAACCAATAAGAAATGGTAGAAGTCTTGGGACTGTCAACAGTAGGAAGCCATCACAACTCTGAGGACTGAAGGTAGGAGTGGAGGTTGAGGTGTTACCAAAACTCAGCAAGAGCCATGGCCATGAAAGAGGTTGCCTGAAAGGAGCATCATCCATACATAGAAGAACAAAATCGCTGCCACTTATCTGGTAGGAAGGGAGTGGGGAAGAAATACCCCAAAATCTCTCCTTTGGCCCTTCAGATTCCTCATTATGCCTCCTATTGGCTGAACCATTTGATAGCTGCAGGGCAAAGGAGAACAGGTGCCAGAGTCCTTAGAGGTCATCCTGTCATGGTACAGAGTTGGTCAGAGAAGGGCAGAAAATGGAGCTGGAGAGACAGTTGGAAAACGACCACACAGTCCATCTATTCTTTTCTTTCATTTGGAGGAAGAGAATTCAAAACAAAACAGGGGAAACACAAAGTCCTATCAGTTTTTGTATGTCGATTCAATGGTATTCTCATTTGGAGCTAAACTGTAATATTAACCACCGTCAATGGTTATTTTCACATACGTGCTGTTTCACATAAAAGGAAAAGGGGAGAAGTAAGTAATTAGAAAATATGGATGCTAGAGACACATTTCCATAACTGGTCATGAGGCCTTATTTGATAATCATGGCAGTGCTCCCCTCTTCCATTCTCTGAGCATCTTGGCCTGGATGACATTTTTTTTTTAACTGGTGGGAGGGGCCCAAACTTTCATGCATACTGAGGATCTATCTTAATTAGTTTGCCAGGTTTCTCACTGACTATTGTCATTGGACATGGGAGTTCTCTGGGATCTGGACATAATCATTCATGCCTTATTATGTAGCAGCAACCCAATTTTCCCTTGGTAATCAGGACCAATCACCAGCCAGTACAGTGACCTTCTCTTCTGTCTGTTAGAGAGCAATCATTTCTTCCAAGTTACTAGCACATGCCTATGTGTTTACTGGACAAGGTATGTCCTTTGCCCACCCAAACCTCTCAGTTCACCGATCTAAAGGTTGAGGGGATGGTATGCAGAACTTTGGTAGGTGGGTTATTATGTGTAATGGAAAGGAGGTCATTCCCACTTCCACTCCTTGGTTTTTAGACAGTGTATTCTGTCTATAAGAGAAATGACACCATATATTGGCTGATGGTTTAAGACACATCTGTATCCTGGGTAAATGCCCTAACCTCTCAAGGTGTTGTCACCAGCTAGTGACCTCACGTTTTTATCAAGCCACCTGCTTCTGGATAAAGAGGCATATAGTAAAACTCATGGGCACAACTACACTGTCCTACTGCCTTTGCTGCAAAATCAGTTTCTCGGTTCTAGATAATGTAATGCATGATTCTATGGCAAAGGATGAGGCATTCTAGGAGTCCATGGTAGTCATGGTAGTAGAAGTAAAGTAGGCAAGGAAGACAATATCATATCTAGAATAAGGATCTGTTCCAATGAGAACAAATAACTGTGACTGGGAAAAAAGGATCCAATACAAACAACTTTTCCCCACGTAGCCAATAGGAGGGACCAGCTAGGGACTGTCCTCTGCTCTTGGCACATAGGACAATCAGCAGTGGTGGTAATCAGATCAAATCTAAGAAGAGAAGAGATGTTTGTATTCTTCCACTCCTGCATGGCCTCCATCTCTGCTACCATCATCTCTACATAGATGGTTCCATTATAGAAGCATAGATGTGGCTGTAGAAAGAGGTACCTGATGACTAGAGAATGGGTCCAATTCTCCAAGGTGTCCACCTGATTATTAAGGGCATCCTCTGCACTGAATGCCTCTGGGGAGCATAGGCTACATATATTCACAGGCTTCTAATTCTAAGAGGTCCATACTGATAGCCTCATTATCAGTCTTCTAGACTTAAATTTTTCAGGTCTCTGACCAACTATTTTAGGCATTATCCATAGATCAGTGCAGATTCATGAGTAAGGCCATTGGTCATATCAACCAAAGTTCTACCCATTGGGAGAATTTTCTTCTGCTATTGTTTTTTTTTTTCATTGTGGTAAAAATATGGTTAACACAAAATCTACCACTTTAATCATTGTTAAGGGTAATCTGTGACATTAAGTACATCCACATTGTTGTGCAAGCATCACCCTCCATCTGTCTCCAGAAATTTTTCAGCATCCCTAACTGAAACTTTGTACCCATTAAACAATAAATCTCATTTCCTCAGCCTCCCAGGCCCT